TTAAAATATTTTTCGTTTTGCACTTGAGTACAGAAGTCAATGAACACATAATGTGACTCATCCTTGTGTTTTAAAAACTTTACCCATGTCCATCTGCTGAAGTCATCAACAATGACCAATCCATACTTCTTTCCTCTGATGGATGCAGTTTTAACTGGCCCAAACAGATCAATATGAACTAACTCTAATGGCTTAGAGGAAGAGACAACATTTTTGGATTTAAAAGAAGGTTTTGAAAATTTTCCTTTTTGACATGCTTCGCACAGAGCTTTTGAGTTGCACTTCAGATTGGGAAATCCTCTGACTAAATTTAATTTATTCAGTTGAGAGATTTTTCTAAGACTGACGTGTCCCAATCTTTTGTGCCATACCCATTGCTCATTGCTAACAGACAAAAGGCATTTAACATTCTGAGATTTAAGATCTGATAAATCAATTTTGTAAATGTTGTTCTTTCTCTTGCCAGAAAAGAGGATTGGTCCATCATTTTGACTTACAGCTTTACAGGAGTTTTGATTGAAGATAATGTCATAACCATTGTCACTTAATTGACTTATGGACAATATATTATGAGTTAATCCTTCTACTAATAAACCATTAGAGATAGAAGGAAGGTTACCGTTTCCAATGGTTCCAGAACCAATAATCTTCCCTTTCTGATTACCTCCAAACTTCACGTCTCCTCCAGCTTTAAGTTACAGGCTTTGGAACATACACCTTTTTCCCGTCATGTGTCGTGAACATCCAGAGTCCAGGTACCATGACTGGTGTCTCAATTGAGCTGTTAAGGACATTTGCAACAAATATTAATTTATCCTTAGGTACCCATATCTTTTTGGGTCCTTTTGGGTTAGAGTGTTTAAAGTTCTGTTTGAACTTTGGGTTAACGTAAGAGTTTCCAGAATGTGATTTATATTTTATATCATGTGAGTGTCCAAACTTGAATTGTTTATTCAGAGGTTTGTAAGTGAAAGTCATTTTAGAAACAGGTTTTGGTATGTATGTCTCCTTTCCTTTGGGAGGTTCATATCCAATTCCTCTTCTATTTTTCCCACTAACTCCATAGATTATTGAAGCCATTTTGCTTCTATCTATGCTTTTATCTAGGAAAGATTGAAAACTATAGTCATATTCTTTCAGAATATCTTTTGAACTAGACATAGATTCTGAACTAGAAGTTTTTTGAACATTTTGAATTTCTTCTTTAAGTTTAAAATTATTTTCTAAGAGTTCAGATTTTTCTGCTTCATGTTTCTCAATATCAGATGCAAGACTCTTCTTGAGTTTCTTGTATTTGATTTTGAGTTTACTATAGTTTTCCAGAAGTCCTGATAAACTAACAACAGGTTCATTTCTAGTGAATTCAGAAAATACCTCTCTTGGTTCTGACTCACAGTCTGAGTCATCTGCTGTGGTAGCCATCAGAGCTAGGTTGGTATTTTCATCTTCAGAACCAGATTCATCTTCATAAGAGTCTGAGTCATCCCAGGTTTCCATCATCCCTTTCTTCTTACCAAACCTTTTCTTTGGTTTTTCTTTTTGAAGCTTTGGACAATCACTTTTGTAGTGACCAGGTTCTTTGCATTCAAAACAAATTATTTCTCTTCTGTTTGTCTTTTTGTGTACAGAAGATTCAGGTTTATCTTCTGACTTCTTGAAGTTTCTGAACTTCTTTTGTCTGTGCTTCCACAAATGATTGATCCTTCTGGAGAGCAAGGATAGTTCATCTTCTTATGACGCTGATTCTTCAGCCTGAAAAGCATTAGTATCAAATTTCTTAATTGATTTAAGGGATAGAGACTTACCTTTCTTTAGAGGCTCGTGGTCATCAAGTTCTATCTCATGACTTCTGAGAACGCTGATAAGTTCCTCCAGAGACACGTTGTTCAGATCCTTTGAAACTTTGAAAGCAGTGACAATTGGTGCCCATCTTGCGGGTAAGCTTCTGATGATCTTTTTAACATGATCTGCTTTAGTATATCCCTTGTTCAAAACTCTTAGACCAGCGATCGGAGTTTGAAACCTAGAGAACATTGCTTCTATATACTCACTTTCTTCAACTTCAAAGGCTTCATACTTCTGAACTAAAGCCAGAGCTTTAGACTGCTTAACTCGAGCGTTTCCTTCATGAGTCATTTTAAGAGACTCAAACATATCATGCGTTGTATCTCTATTAGTGATTTTTTCATATTCAACTTTAGAGATAGCATTTAGAAAGATATTTCTAGCTCTATGATGATTTTTAAATTCAGCTTTTTGTAGTCTATCCATATTTTTTCTGTCAACATTGTTTCCTTCTGAGTCAGTAGGATGTGTGTAACCATCCAAAACTATATCCCATAGATCACTATCATGACCTAGAAAGAAACTCTCTAGTCTGTCTTTCCAGTACTCAAAATCTTCTCCATCAAAAATAGGAGGTTTGTTGTAACTATTGTTGTTTTGTTCAGCCGCCATTGTGTTTTCTTCTAGATCTTTTCCTAACACGGTTAAGTGTTGTGCTCAGAGTCAAGCTCTGATACCAATTGAAGGGGTAAGAAAACACTTAGAAGGGTGGGTTGAATAAGTGACTCTTTTCTTTTTCAAAACAAAGCTCAACAATAATAGAATGACAAGGTTATTTTTATCCTGGTTCGTTTGAACTCAAAGTACTCCAGTCCACCCGTCAAGGTGATTTCTCCTTTCTCAATAAGGACTTAATCCACTGTAATCAACTGATTACAAACACACAACAATTGTTGTGACTAACAATGCACAAGTAATCTTACAAGTGACTAACACCACTAAGACTTAAATCTAGTCCTAGTCTGCTTGAGAAATCTGACCAAACTTGGTCTCTCAAGGAACAATTACAAGAGTTTAATCTTTACAGATAGTGAAATAAAATTTTCTTCTAATCAAGCTATATCAAACCTGTAATTTTTCACTTAGAATAAATTGCACAAAGTGTATGAACAAAGAGTTTGTGAGCCCAGAATTTTTTACGTAGTTTCTTGCTTCTTTTTTTGAAATGTGATTAGTTAATTGTCTTTCAATAAATGTCCTTCTATTTATAGTAAGAACAAAATGACCGTTGCTGCCTTCAGAAAAGTGGAGAGCATTAAATGCTTGCGTGTTTCCTTGCACTATTCCATTTTTCAAGAAACTAGCTTAAACACTTGAGTGCTTGCAGCCGTTTTTGCATTAATGAGCAAACGACAACTTATAAGAACTTGTTTCCTACGCTTGACAAGACAAGTTGGTTTTAACGTTTGTTTCAGAACATGCTTCAACATCTTGATTTCAGAACATGCTTTACTTCATCTTCTAGGCAGTGCTTTACTTGCTAAGAACTTGATCAGCGCTTGCATTCAAGTAATCTTCTAAGTAAGGAAACCTGCTAAATGTTAGAAGATATATTTAAATAAATTGTCTTACCAGAGTCAGTAGATGCGCTTAAAAGGTTCTTCCATTAAAGACATTCTTCATAATTTTTTGCTTAGCACTTCCGAAATCTTCTTGACATAACATTATCTGAAATAGTCAAATACGTTCATCAGAGTATAAATTATCTAAAACATAATTTATTGTTATCATCAAAACTCTGAGATAGATTAGAACTAATCTTGTTCTAACAAACACAACAAATGATGATGATGATGATGATGATGATGATAAGGTATTTTTCAACCTATCTCGTGATGAACTTATTATTACCTTGAGTGAGAGCTACTTCGTAAATTTTAGAGAATGACTAAAAATCATCAAGGTCTAAAAAAGATCTATGAAAAATCACTAGCATTGTATGAAACTTTGAAACAAGATATTGAAGTTTTGAAAAATGAAACCAGATGTTTTAAAAATCAAACATCTCAAACTTCTAGAATGGGTGTATATAACTCTAAAAAGTATAAAGAATATTTTCAAGAGCTATTTGCTAATAACATGGATAGAAGAAAGATTACTTCTCTAATATATGGTGTAAGAAGTAGTAGTAAAGAAGGGCTAGTATATGTTGATAAGCCTTTAATTGAGACTCATGATACCAAAAGTATTTGTTCTCACTATTTGAAAGGATGTTAAATAACTTTTTTTATGATAAAAACATGAAAATACCAGAAATATTCTAAAACATAGAAAAGAGGACCGAAGAAGATCTTAGAACCTGGAAAATAAAATTATTTGTATTGTAGATTTCTTTAACAAGCTTGTTAAATACACTAGTTAAATACACTAGTTTTGGTACCTGTGTGGATGCTCGTGTTACATGACATGAGAAAGCCATGTGTTCTAAATCCCCGAGATCATGGAATGAGGCAACATGGATTTTGAAGGAAATCTGAAGGGAAGAATCATAGATTTTGAAGTAGGTCTAATGAATAACCCACTTAGAATAATTCAATTAGGAGACAATTGTTATGATGTTTTCTTCTATCAAAAGTCTTGTAAGGCTATTAGTTAAAATAGATGGATTTTGTCCTCTTTAGTAGAACAAGGAGAATTAACATTTATAAAATCAAGTTGTCCTACTTGAAAACACAAGTGATGAAATACCTTATGTAACACCCCGACTTTAAATAATTATTTTTTTAATTAGTTTAATTGATTTAATTGAGTCAATATGTGTGTGTCTTGTTGAATTATTGGTATTTGAGTTATTTTTTATGTTTTGTGTGATTTAAGGGTATTATAGTAATTTAATAAATAATAGGAATATAGAGTATTTGAGAACAGGGAAATAAAATAGAATTATTTAATTATATAGAAATAATTAGATATTTTAATTATTTAGAAATAATTATATATTTTAATTATTTGGATATAATTAGAGAAATTTTGGGATAAAATAGAAAATGAACATTTAATTATAATTTAAATTTTTATTTAAATGATTATTAGTGAAATTTTTATTTTAAAAAAAATAAAAGTGTTAATTTTAATCAAAATCATATGTTAAAGGGGGTCTGGGTGAGAGGAGTGTGGGAACACGTTTGGACTTTTAGGTTAAATATATAGTTAACATGAGGGGATTGGAAAAGTTACGTGAAAAGTCAGAATTTGGGAAAAGAGGCGGGTCTGAAATGGGAAGAGAGCAACATTGGAGCGGTCATGAGAGAAGGGATAAGAATTCCATCAACCTCCAAACTTTGAGGTAAGGAGAGGGAGAATTTCTTTACTCATGGGTGGCTTTAATCAGTCAAGATGGTGAGGGATCCTTACCCTCATATCTCTGCATTTTGGTTCTACATGGTTTTTGGCATTGTTTGTGACCAAAGGTGTTTGGCCAAAATACCTGAGGTCACTAATTGATGAATTACTCTATGTATTATTACTTTAATATGAAAATATGTGAATATGTAATTTCTATATTATGCCATTTTGGGGTTTTTGTGATAAAATTGAAACTATTATGATTTGCCTTTAATATTTTTGTATTGAAATTGGAACTCGTATGATTTTTGTGTAATGTTTTTGTGATGAAATTGGAAATCATGTGATTATTTGTAATGTTTTTGTGATGAATTTTGAACTCGTATCATTTGTATGTAAAATTTGGGATAAATGGGAAATTATATTATCTATCTGCTTTATGAGCGATCCCTTTGGGTCTGTCTGTATCAATATCGTAAAAATTCAAAAAGCTGGATTTTTTTACTAAAAATAAAAAATTAGGAAAAATTGGAATTTTTATCGAAAAACTAGAAATTGAAAAAAACCAGGAATATGGGGCTACGACGACAACATGTGGTGCTTTATCACACAAGAGAAACAATGTCGCGTCGGCGGCGAAGCCGCAGTGACCGTAAATTAGTGTCTCTTTGGCAATGGAGCAATATTGGGTCGTGCCGCGGTGGCGTCTACCAAGGTTCTGGAAAGTCACGCGATGGAAGAAGCCACTACAGGGGTTGTATGGGTTGGCGCATGGGAGAAGCCGCAATGGTGACAACCGTACTGCCGTAGGTCGCAGGTTCCTCCTGGACAGGTCGGTGGCGGTTTTCAGCAATTTCTATTTTGAGCAATTTTAGAGTCAGATACATTTTTGTTACATTTGTGTGATTATAGAGTAATTATTAATTAAGTCGTAAGCCCTTTTGAGTTCAGTAGAGTTAGCATTCCTAAATTTATCAATAGAGCAATTTTCAGCGCTTTAGAATACATTGGAGTTATTTTGAGGGTTACAAGAATTTTTTTAGAATTGTTTAGAGTTTCCTTAGGAAATCTATTGAATTATATATATATATATATATATATATATATATATATATATATATATATATATATATATATATATATATATATATATATATATATATATATATATATATATATATATATATAACCTTTGATGAGTTTAGAGTACAAATAAATTAAAAATTACTCTATCGAGAAATTTTGTGTATACTGGTTGAGTTTTTCTTGAGTTATTGATTAGTAACATAACTTTACTCTATAGACGGTTATTTTTGGGACAATATATGATTATTAAATTAAATTATATAAATATTTTTGAGTTGAGTAATTTAGAGGAATAACAGTGTGGCCTATTATTGGTGCAATTATGGCTCAGAGAGGAACCCGTTTGAGTATGAACTTTTAGAGGATTATTTTGCTATTGTTGTTTGAGTTTGTGATTGTTGTTGCATAATCATGCATACATGTAGATTGAAGTTAGGCGGGACTTTAGTCTAGTTGGTTCAGAGAAGAACCACGACTGTCTTATGTCAAGAGAGGAACCAGAGATGGGGATAAATCAGTAACATATCTGTGATGCCCAAAAACTTGATACCACATGCATATTGAAGGAGGAGTTTAGTGCATATTTGCATTGTATTATAATAATAATTATTGTTGTTGTTGTTATGTGAGAATTATTTTAATGTTTATTTTAATAGGCTTGTTGTTTATTTTCACCACTAACATTTATAAGGATTATTCTCACTCCTTTCTTGTTTGTTTTATGTTGGTTTGTACAATATCGTACAGATACTCAAGAGAAGTAAGTGTTTCTATGAGTTGGAAGATGTCCTTGGAAATTTTCTTTGTTTATTTTATCCTTTATCGCTTTTAGCTGGTTTAATGCTCTGATTTGTAACATCGGGGAACACGGCGTTTATTTTTTGAGTAAATCATTGGATTATGTTATTTTCATTAAATATTTCAGTTGATGAGATAGTTGAAGTTTATGTTATTCAATTGAATTTCCGCTGCGAGTTATTGATTTAAATGAGAAATTATGCATGTATGTTTGAGTGACACATCCTAAAATTATGGCTTTATTCTCTTAAAAAAAGAGTTTGGGTTTTAGGGTGTTACATAGTGGTATCAGAGCAGGTCGGTCTGTTCGGCCAGGTTTTTTTTTAAATTTTATTTGCTCTTGTGATACGGTGGGAGAACTGACTTGAAGGTTTTGCGTTTTACCGCAAATGTTGCAGTTAGCAAGAGTCGCCACCAACTTTTCTTTTATCCAAAAGGAAAGGTGAAAAAGCACAAGAAAGACCTTTGAGATTGTTTCTTGGTTCGGGGGTAGATTATAAAAAGGGAAGGTATTAGCACCCTTTTTATACATGGCTTTCCATGGGCTCTTAGTTACTTGCTAAATCACTTGTTTAGTTTGAAATTGTGTTTTGTGTGGTTTTTGAAAGTATTTTGTAAAGATGTCATCGTTTAGGCAATCTTTGTAATGATTCTCATTCATAAGAATGTATACAAAGATGTTTGATCTTTTGAAAATGTTTTCAAGTTTTGTAAGATGTTTTGAAAGTCTAAGTGTTTGTTTTTGAAAATAGCAAGGATGTTTTGTTTGAAATGGAGCAAGTAATTAGGAGCAATCTACCTACTCAAATGTCTTTCTTGTTCATTTTCTTTTCCTTTAACATTGTTGTCTTACCATTGATTTGGTAAGCAACCCTATCTTTGGATGTAAACGGGACGGACGTGGGTCATCGTATAACCATGATTAGTAATGTTGCAAGGTATCTTAGCATTCTCTTTTAGGGACTAAGATCATTTGAAAGGAAACTTAGATAGCGTCATCGAGGGACTATGATCTTATATTCGTTTGTTTTTGCTAAGATACCTCACATGCATAATATGGCCATTGTGTAAGGCAACCAAATGGAATAACCCTAGGGGTGCTTGTGCGCAAATGTATTGTTTTCATGCTTGATTTTGTCTTTGATTAGGGTTCTCTACTTGTTTGGTTTTAGTATTTCCATACAAAAACTAATTACTAGTAATTGTATAAGCGGTAAATTGCAGAAAATAAATATCCTACGCTATTACAATCATTAGGGGGATGGGGTGTACAGATTTATAAATGGGGATTGCAAGTAAATTAAAGTCCTAATTATCTATTACAAACATATTGAATGGATAAGAATGTACAAGAAATATAAAATGAACTTTTTTTGTTTAAAAAAAGAAATAAGCTTTGTTTAAGAAAATATTTTGTTCTTTTTATGTTAAAAGAAATAAAATAAGACATGTGAATATGAAATATTTTTTTGTGTTTTGAATTAATAAAAGTGATGGAAAAAATATTAAGGAAAAAGAAAACGGAATCAGGGCTTTGCTAAAATAAAAGAAATCATAAGTTTTGACTCTGGCATGCTGCAAGAAAGAAATAACATGTTAGTCAAAATAGGGAATGCCAGAAGTTCTGGGTCCGCTGGGAACAAAAGAGATTTCAGAAGTTCTGATGCCGCTGGCAGAGGTTCGTCTCCCTCTCCATACTAGTTAGAACATCTGCAACTTAGTCATTTCTCAACAAAACAGAAAATGTGCATATATCAGTTATGGCAGGTTTTGTAATGTTTCAGAAACAAGAGATATCAGAACTATAAATCAGAAGCAAGCATGAATTTGCTAATTCTAATTCTGAGTCCTAATTTCTTCAAGTTCTGGACTGAAATTCTCTCTACCTAGGAAGGCAAATACATGAAACCTCATAATATGTACAACATCAAAATCATGATGTTTACATTGTATATTTGAACATGCAAATATGACAATGCATAAGTAGTATGATGAGAGTCAGCAGAAAATTACCTTGAAACTGGAAAATAATCTGTGAGCTAAAGTCTGGTCTAAACGCTGGTGATGTTCTGAACAGTTTCTTCACGTGTTCAGCAGGCTGGAAGCTTTCAACTTGGGTTACGAATGGTTAGAGAATTCTGGAACAGTCAAGGGGTAAAGTTCTGACTTCTTTGAGGTGGATGTGGATGAAGAGTGTGTTATAGTCTGAACACAAAAGTTAGGATAGCTTCTAATATGTGAATCAGAAACTGTATGGATGGTTTTGGTCAAGAAGCACTTGAGGAAAAATGGAATTTGAATGCAAGAATCAAAAGCTAACATGTTTTGTATTTTGTGTTTGTAGTTTTGGAATCTTGGAATTTTAGCAGGGGTTCAAGGCTTTTCTTTCTCAATTTTTTCGACCTTTTTACAGTTGCCAATCAAGTCTAATTTATAGGCAAAGGTTTAGTAGTTGGGAGAGGTCAAGGAGCACCACCATCATAAGCTAGACACTGACTTGTTGTTGAAGTAAGTCAAAATAGGTATGGTGGTTAGCAGTTTTAGCAGCACCTAAACTTAATTTGTGAGCAAGAATTAAGGAAAGGTAACCTCAAAAGCAAAAGCAACGTATGTGCCCAGCACACTTTTGTATAAAAGTTTACTTTTCCAAGACAATAAAGGTACTTCTATGCCACACGTGGGGAAATCTTTTGGATAAAGACTCAAAAGTGGTTGTGAGCATTAAATGATGATGAGATTTATCAAACTAGAAATCCTGCAATGTGAGATTTTGCATCATTGCTTAATTCTGGATCAGAAGTCCAGCTTCAACGTAACTTAGAATATATATCCAACTTCTGATATTTGTATCTCTTTGCTCCAGCATGCTCTGAAGGAGCTCCTAGACTTTCCAGGAAGCTTACAACAAGCTTTGTAAACCTTCTTTGAATTTCTCTTGCAACTTTTGACCGAGCCTATGTGAAAACTGACACAGAAGTTGTAGACAACTTCTGACTTAAAAAATGCTCAGAACTTACTAAATGCCTAAGCTTCAGAGACACGCCTTTGAGGATGTATAACTTGCAATCTCAGCATTTCTAGAAGAAGTTTTGTTTTGCAGTTTTTTAAATATCATTGAAATCTATAACTCTTGTGTTAGAAGTTCTTCTAGGATCAGCTTGTATCATGGTGAAAATTTGGCCAGAAGTTCTGAGCTCATCATATTTCCTAAACACTTAGAAAAAATTTCTAAGTATTTGGAATTTTGATTTTTCCAAAGCAAATTTGACTTTTGATTTTCTTAATGAAACAAACTTCATATTTTAACATGTCTTGATGAAATATGATTCTTGAAACTTGATTTTGATCCAAATGTCAAAGTTTGACTTTTCAGTGTGCAAATGACCATTTTGCCCTTGTGGATGACTTTCTTGGAAAATTTGTAATTCAAGGCTTGAAATTGGATGGGAACAAACCTGAGAGTTCAGGGTGATCCTTTGAGAACTGAGAGGGCAAATTTTGGGGTACAATAGTTCCCTAGTATACGATGGGTGTATGAGCACTATCAATGCATTGTTTCTTCTAATAGTTGTTCACTAGTGTGCATAGAAATGGAAAGATGCAATTATTGTGTGATCGCTAATGCTATGGAAGCTATGGCTCATGTGATGGCATAGGCGAAGGCAGCTTTGCACACTCAGCAAAATCAGTAGGGAGCGACTGATGAATTTATGATCTGACCAGGTTTTAGAGAAATAATCTGCCAAATTTCAAAGGAAGGTATGATCCAGAAGATGCTCTAGTTTAATTGTAAGATATTGAGAATATCTTTCGGGTCATGGTTTGTACGGATACTCAGCAAGTTATGTTTGATACTCATATATTGTCTAGGGAAGTTGAATATTGGTGGGGGCAATGCTCATCAGATGTTGGAGGATGCAAGTATT